GACCTCCTGTTTTTTTTTTTTTTGTTTTTTTTTGGGTAAATGTCATTACATTGTAAATGTTTGTTATGTTTTTATCTTTGGTAAAAAAAAAAACAAAAAAAAAAAAAACAGGAGGTCAGCCATTATTTAAAATCAATTAGGGATTCATCTGTTTTATAAAAAAGAGGATAATCTCCTCACAGGCTTGGCCAACCAGTTTTGATCCATACTATTTTTTTTTTGTATGTTTTCAGTGCCTTTTTCAGTAATTCCTATTTCTTTTTATGAGGTACAGTCTTTAAGGTAGAAATGTCTTTCCTCATTATTAGCAGCCTTAAAATAATATCTCCCTTACTGTAATTGGCTGCTGGAAATAATGATGTACCTTTTGGTCAAAACAAGCATGTTAAATGATGACTTCTAGGCTAAGCCTACCAGGGATGTGATTTGTTTTTTACCTAAACATTCTAAATATTCTGCCATCTCACTTTTCTTATTCTTTTCTTATTTTTCTCCTTTAAGCCCAAAGACGTAATATATGAAAATGACAGAGAACTCTTCATCCTCCAACAAAACCTTCTGTGTTACTTCTATAAATGAAGTATTATTCTATGATGCCCTCACAATCTCCAAGTCTTCTGTCTTTGTACCTCTCTCCATCTTCATACTGTACTTCGGTTACCAGCAATGGCGGACTTCCTCCAAGGCGAGCAACTCTGATATTTTCACTTACAATTTTGCTGCCTTGCAGCTCCTTTCTGGATTGTCAACTATCATATACTTCTGTGGTCGTTACAGTGGTTTTACAAACCTTTATCATGCTGGGAGTTATGGAATGACTATTCTTTATCCTAGAGAATTCAATCTTCACATCTTGACATGTTTGGATCAGTATCTGGCTGTTGTTCATCCCATCACCTACCAGAGATTAAAGCAGTCTGGTGGGATCAGGATCAGAAATGCTCTTATCATCTGTGTTTGGCTTTTTTGCTTGAGATGGTTCGTACTAATAATTCTTTTTTACCCTGCTGTACCTTATACTGCATATTTCTGCTTGATGAGTTACTCTGTAATAAGCATTGCTTACTGCAGCCTCTCTGTTCTTTATGCTCTGGTTCAACCAGGACCAGGTAAAGGGGGCAGGAAAAGGGAGAGAGCTGATCGATCGAAGAAGAAAGCTTTCATGATCATCACAGCTATACTTGGAGCTGTGCTGATCTATTTTGTGGCTATGATTATTTCCCTTGCTCTTATAAACACAAATCTGCTCAATCACGCTGCATGTCTCTTTATCATGTGTGCACAATGCTTTGGAGTTCCCAGAAGCTTGGTTTTACCTCTGCTGTTTTTACGGAAGGTAAAGAAACTTTGGTCCTGCTAATGCAGTAAAAGGTGAAGATTAGTGCAGCATATGCTAAATGGTTTAGATCAGTTTCCATTTGGAAAAAAAGTTAAAACTGTTTTTTCTCAGTCTGACTCATTTTGAGAGGAAATTAAGACCAGCTACCAGCAACAATCCAAGCAATACACTAGGAAAATCGAATACAACCGTTATTGATTAAATACTTAAAGAAAAGGAATAGAAAAAGAGTGGAAAACAAGGAAACCAGTTGAACCTTAACCTCTGCTAAAACATACTGGATTCTTAAGCCTAATAGGCCCACAAATGGGTAACGGACGGCAAACAGTGTAAAATAGCCTTTTCAGTGCAAACTATCAGCTGCTTCAGTCCTAAATAGTGGTTTAAAAGCATTAAAACCTTGTGTCATTAACATTGATTGCACAATGAAATGTTACAGTGACTGAAAGCAAATCTAAGTTCAACGATTTTTCATTTGTTTTTGTTTTGTTTTTTGTTGTTTTTTTATTTTTATTTTGTCACACACTCCCAGGTGACATTGGGTACAGACCTGTTTCTATACTTCTGAATGATTAATTATATAGAGAGCTAAAGACTTAAAACTTAATTTCAACATGACTTCTGCATTTCAGACATTTTGACATGAATTGATTTGTTTAGGCTGAAAAACCTTCTAATGATGCTGATTTAAAGTAAAACAAGTTAGTAGATGGAAAAAGGAATCATGTGGTTAGCATCTTATAGTTTTTCTGAATTGTTTATGCACAAAAACTGTTATTTGAGGTGCATTGAACACACATAACTCATCTACGAACCCTGTGAACTAGTCCTGCTGAACTATGAACATAATTACTATTGATGTGCTCAGAAAAAACTCTTTTCTAAAAACACTGGACACATTTCTTCTGAATTTAGCACATTTTTGAAAAGAAAAATGGCCTGATAGCAATTTTTCCACCTTTGTCCACTCCTTATCACAGGGGAAAACACACAGTTTTACAATTAACAATACTTTTAAGATGAAAGGGACCAAAGGTAACGCCTCATTTTAGTGCCATGGAGACCAACAATGGGGCACATGGAAGGTTTTAACATACTTTGTTATTTGCTGTTACCGATGCATGGATTCTCATTGCTATTGATATGTGTAGCTTAATGACCACTTTGAGTTTTTGAGGGGAAAGTAGAACATACTGCACAGAATATAACCAATAAACAGGCTTAATTCTTAGATAACTGGATAACTTGTTTTCTTTATTTTAGGCCAACATTTTCAAAGTAAGGTGAAAATGTTTGTATTTCTGCTTAACTACAAACACAAATCTTGTTCTTCTCTTTAGATATAGTTCTAAAATTCTCAACACACTTCACACTTTTTCTTTGCATGAAGGACAATTTAATGAGCAAGATGTCTTATTTTCACAATTTACACACTTTGGTTCAAAACGATAAAAGTGATTTGCCCAACTTTGCACAAATCTCATGACATTGATAAAAACCTGTGACACTTTTACATTCAGCATTCAGAGTGTTAACAGAAAAAGGGCACATGTGAGAGCTTTTGTTTTTGAGCAGTTGAGGTCAATAATGGAATGCATAAAAGAAGAAACCATAGCTTCGATTTTATACTTCAACCACATGTACAATTAAATTATCAAATTTAAAATTGT